TGCAGTTCATCTTGTAACTCTATGTTGTTTTTATTGGAAAATATGGGGTTTCAACCAAGCCTGTCTCACACAACTACAAAGGGAAGGGTGGCTTCGCTGTGGCCTAGCTTTGCTGCTTTGTGTGGGGGGGGCTTGGAGACCACCTTTTTTCCCTGTTTCCCTCATTTTCTTCTCTTCTTTTCTCTTCATGGCTCTCCATGAGGTAGGAATAAATCCTCTCTCCTCCTCATGGTTTTTGTAATAACATTTCACAACCCCAACAGTTTTCTCATTTCCCAAGTCATGTAACATGCCAGACTGAGTTAAGCAAGCTAACCAAAATCAAGCCATGGTTACAGATTGTGGTTAAAGTGGAGCATCTTCATCAAAATCTGACCCATAGTTTCAATTCGGACAATACACTAAACTAAATTATAGTATAACTTACCATATCATGTAAAATAAACGGATTGGTACCTCCAATTTCTATCCTGGTCCAGCAATCTGCACGTAAAAGGCTTCTAACTGAGGATAATTCATTCTGATAATAACTGGAAGAAGTTGAACTTTACATTCTAGAGAAACTGAACCTGTTCCAAGAATGCATTTTGTTTTGTCTGGTTCCTTTACATTTTTGTTCTGCATATTATCTACTGAAATTATAGTCCTTATCCAAATGCCATAAAATGTTGTGGGATTATTTTAAGTTAAAAAAAATATAAATAGGTAGGAGTTGGCTATACTCTTTCAATAGAATCTGATAATGCCTTCTGATTTCTTGGCTACTGAATATTGAATATAGTCAGTATCACTTTTCCAATTTCCTGTGCACAAAAATAAAGGTTCCCAAGTATTTGAAGGAATTTATCTGTTTGAAATGGTGTCTGCTAGCCATTATTTGGCACAAACCATGGACTGCAACAATGAGTCTGAGGATAAAGGTTCACAGACTAATTTGCTTGATATAAGAATCATATCATCAGAATACAGAAGGATAGAAACTGTTCTTCCTTTCTTTATTTTTTCATGGACAGCATATTGCTTTCAATATGTGATTCACCTCCATCCTGAATAAGCAGCAGCTAGCAAGTCTCCTTGTCTTACCCTTGTAGAGATTGCCTGACAGGTTTTAAAGGCTGGATCTGGGGAACTTCAGAAATAGCCTTCCCTGCCCAGGGGTACTCTGTTCTGTCTTGATCCTCAGATCAGCAAAAGATTTGAAAAAAAGAGCTCCATCCTCTTATTATCTAGTATGGAAAAAACAAATGCCGAAAAGCTATAGTGTACCTATATAATTTTTAATCAAAATGGATTGGAGGAAATTTAACCAGTATGAAGGGGTGGAGAATGCCAAACTTCATAGAAATGTGTGGCAGGGGGTGCGGGTTGACTTGTACTTCTTTAAAATTAGGATTTTTAAAAATGCCATGTCTCTATTCAGGATGGGATGAGATATACAGGAAAGCTAGACCATCATAAAGGGATGAAAATTACCAAAACCAGGTGGCTTTGAACTATGATATTTAAAAACTGCTTGTTTTCTTAAAAAAAAAGTCTTTAAATTTTTGTTTAGAGATAGAATATGAATAAAGCTGCAGTGAAAATAGCTGCTATTGAAAAGAATGTCCATATCAAATTTCAGACAATTTAGGTTTGACAGGATTTTCTGTAAAGGGGAAGGACCATGGGAAGAGATTATGATAACTCTTCCTGAATGTGATGCAGGGCAGGAAGTTCAGGGCAAGGAGCAATATCATATTCATGTGTCTTTTTCAAAAAAGAGTAGGCAAAAATGATGTGACCTATTGTGAGTGAAATTCAAGAATCAATACCCCAGAACTTTGGTTTCAAGCTTTGTGGAAGGATCTGATTCATAAAAGTGTATGTCAGAGTCTAACATTTTAGGTTTATGACAATTTGTTCCAAATTATCCAGGACTGTCTTGGTATTTAATCATTTGGCGGATAACTCTAATAAAGAGTAGTAATTAATAATAAAATGAGATTTTTTTTTCAGAAAAGGAAGTTTGTATCAAGATTTACTTCAATTAATGTTAGGTCAAGTTAACCCAGTCAACAGGACTTAAATGCTTTACCTTTAAAATGCCTTGTTCATCATTTGTTATTGAAATGAATGAGAAGAAAGAACTAGTTGGGATATATAATACTAAAAAAATTAAAACCTGTAAAATTCACAAGTTCATGTAACACATTTTATCACAACACTTAAAAACAGAAAGTCTTGGGGCTACAGTATTATCACTTCTCAAGTACTTTGCTTGGGAATCAATACTGCACCATCTTTCACCCGATATATTTCATTCTCAGAGAGAAATAAGAAGATACCCTTCTGGTTCTATTCGACTGAGAAAGATACACAGCTTCTCAGGTCACAAATGAGCAACATAAGTTTTTTTCTGGACCTCACATCCCACATGGAACCCTAAGGACTTTGCATTTAGCTCACTGTGAGAGGTGCAAACTGTGGAGACATATGGAATCCACACATTTCAGGGATGACATATACAACAAATATGAAATAAGGAAAGGCTCATTTTCTGACTTGAAATTATTTGTAACATAAGTTAGCTCAAATGTAATCATTTTCACTTGGACCAAAGCTGAAATAAGCACTCCCGTTTAAATAGATTACCCAAATGCCAGTCTGGCTTTAGGCCATGTGTCTAGCCATTGAAATCTATGGCCTAGTCTAGACTGCTTTCAGGTTTTGACAGGAGCAGATTGACAGAAAGTGGGCCCTCTTAAAGAATGTGTCTGCTTCTATGTCCTTTGGAAAGAAAAAGTGGATTATTGGATTTGTTTAGGGTGCTAGCAAAACGCTTTTATTTGAAGTAATAAATATAATGGTGTAATTTTTTTTTTTTTACTTATCACAGAACTCTCAGTGCATAAATAACTCTGAAAACATTGGCCAATAGCAGCACAGTATTATCCCACCAAGTTAATCTTTAAGTGGAGGGACACAATAAATGGACTGATGAGCATACAGTGGGGCAAAAAAGTATTTAGTCAGCCACCAATTGTGCAAG